GCCAGTCTCCTTCTGATACCTTGCCCAGGAGGGGAGTAGGGAGTTTACATTAGCCTTTTCATTTCCAAATAAAGTTACATTAACCTCTTCATTCCCAAATAGAGTTACATTACCCTTTTCAGCAGCCAAAAACCAAAACCGTATATTCCCTTCCCATTCTCCCGCTGTTCCCTACTTGTCACGCGTTCTTTCCAAAAATCGGGAGTTTTTTTAAAAGCCACAGTACACAGGACAAATTGTTAAAAGTTGGGACTGTCCCACCAAAAGCGGGACATGGGGTCACCTTATACTAGGTCTGATGGGGAAAAGAAGGAAACGAAGGGGAGGAAGGAAAGGGAAAAGAGAATTATGAAAAGGCAGTGCTGGGTCTGACAGGGTACAGAACCGTGACCTGAGAGTTTGGACTCTGAATTTCAAATCCAGGTCCCACCACTTACTTCCGTGTGAGCACCTGTACATCGCCACATCGCCTAACCTCTCTGTCACCTACCTCCCATTAAATGGGATCCATGCTGTTGTTAATAGAGAAACAGCAGCACACTGAATCCAAATTAAGCAAGGGTCCTTTATTAATCAGCAGGGCCAAGAGCAGGCTCGTGCCTCAAAGTCTCTCAACCCCTAGAAGTAGGGGTGGAAACCTTTTATAAGGGGCTTTCAGCAGGGGAGGGGGAATCCTTAATGCAAGTTGAATTTCATAAGAGCCAACACCTGGTAAGGGGAGTGCTTATAAGGGGGAGCTGGTTTTATAGGATTTTACAGATATTACTAAACTCTTTCAGCTGAGCATCCTGTCTTAAAGGGAGAGTGTTGAAAGCCCTTAGAAGATGCAGAGGTCCTGAAACTTTTTAAACAGGTAGCCAGTTCACTATCCCTCAGACTGTTGGAGGGCCTGACTGCAGGCCCCAGGACGAGTCGGCTGCTAAGCAGGACAGGCAGCAGCAGCAAAAACACCTGGCGGGCCAGATAAATGTCCTCAGCAGGCCGCATGTGGCCCACGGGCTGTAGTTTGAGGACACCTGATAGGGCATAACACTGAACTACATAGGGTTAATGGGACCATCTGAAGGGTCAGAGTGTGCACAGCGTTTATGCGGAGTGCCAGGTACCAGGAGGGCACCAATATCTATAAGCATTATTGCTCGCCGGGCAAACTTTTACCAGTGCTCTCTACCCAGCAGCTGTCCTGGGTGCTGGGAGTCACTCAGAGGACCACGCATGCCTCAGGAGACCCTGAGTATGTCCCCTTCTTTCCTCCATGCAGACCTGCCCCTTACTAGGGTGAGGCCCTAGTGCCAGGAGCAGAGCAGCCAGGGCCAGCTCTCAGTTTAGCCACTGGGGCAGGGGCGGGGGGCGGGGGCAGAGTTGTGCTTGGACTTTGCACGGGACCTTTTTTTTTTTTTGAGACAGAGCCTCAAGCTGTCCCCCTGGGTAGAGTGCCGTG